CATTGCTTTCACTGTAATTTATTTTTGTATTATTTAGGGAGCATTATAAATAGTTGTGTTTTTAAAAGAAAAAAACTACTATTGTTATGAATAACACATTCAATTGAACTAAACTATGCACGCCTATTTAAATATATTTACACATGGCGTGTGTATATCATATATATATATATATATACTATTCATACCTTCAGTGTATAGGACGCAAGTAGATTTTGACATCAAATTTTGGGGTAAAAAAAGTGCGTCTTATACACTGAAAAATACGGTATATATTATTCATACCTTCAGCGTATAGGACGCAAGTAGATTTTGACATCAAATATTGGGGTAAAAAAGTGCGTCTTATACACCGAAAAATACGGTATATATTATTCATACCTTCAGTGTATAGGATGCAAGCAGATTTTGACATCAAATTTTAGGGTAAAAAAAGTGCGTCTTATACACTGAAAAATATGGTAAATTGACGAGAGAGATTATGCTGTACATGTAAAAACCTGAACTTCGTACAGTAGTTGTAAATACTTTAAAGAAGAATTTATTTATGAAGTAAAATGATCACAAACACATAAAGGAAATAATTGTTTTTGTGTTTTGAAAGTTTAAGATTAAGGTTTTACATTTTATGTAATCTAAAAGTTGTTGATTTGGGAACAGTTATTTGAGAGTTATCATATAGATCAACATTAACCATCACATAGATTTTTTTGCTTGAAAAAGTATTAATGAGATTTTTTTTTATAAAAACAAATGAATTTTACAAAATTAATTGAATTTTATGAAAACATTTCTCTCAAGATTTTGTTTGTTAAACATACCAGAATAATTTTTCTTTGGGTAAAGGGACTAAATTTTTTAAATTTGAAACAAATGTAATAAACATGTATCTTACTTAAGCATTTGACTTTTACATAAAATTTGTTTGATGACTTAGTAAGGAAAAAGTGTGAAATTAGACTCATAATTTTTACACATTAACCCTCCTACTACAAGCTTGGTCCCATGGAACAACCTTGTAAATATTTTGTGCTTGTTATAGTTTTCATGCTATAACTTTTAATACAGCATATGTATCTTCATGAAATTTTGGAGATTATCAGTAAACATTACAAGGCTTTCGTATACAAAATATCAGACTTTTTTAAGTAATGATTTGCTCGTGCATTTTTTCTTTTTGAATGTTGACTGTCCAGTATGCAGAGTAATTTTGATCTTAAGATTAAAAATATTTTTATGCATCAGAAAATTTTCAAATTTCACATGTGAAATCTTTATAACCTCCAGATAATTATAATTTTTTTTTTTTAGAAACACTAATTTTGTATGTTATTTTCACTATTGTACCTCTATACAAGCTCGGTCAATTTGACCGACCTTATAACCACCATAAAAAATTAGAAAATAGGTATAAATTATGTTTTTTTCATTTTAGAATGACTGCAGAGTATAACAAGAAACCACAAGTGTTTAGTCGAAATAGCTTAAATATCACAAAATTTTACATCTATATGTATTTATTATTTTATTGACCTTTCAGCCGTGTCTGACTAATATCACAGAAGCTGCAATGATACAGCACACATGCACTCATGTTAATGTATCCAATAGTATAAAACGGGCCTTTACAAAGTGACCTCTCTTGGCTTTGCTCTAGTGAACCAGTATTTTGTAAAATACAACATTTCAGTTATAATACATTATATATATATATATATACATTATTACTATTTACAAATAAGTTCTTAAATTTCAGTTATTTTTTCTTAAAACATAGAACAATAAATAAAGAAGTATAGAAAACAACGATCTCTTATACTTACTAGCTTTGTACCTGTTTGCTGCTTGCCGTAATTTGCTTGTCAAATTTAGCACGTGGAGGATGAAAACCAAATGATTTTTTTAGGTTTTATATATGGATTTTAAAATAGCAAAAAATAATCATAAATTACTATATCAATACCACAGAATTCCACTATAATTTATCAGGCTTAGTAAATAAGCTGTATTTGGGTCTTAAAAAAATATGGTATGATTTTTTGAGCCTCATAATGTCTTGCTTTGATTCTAACATGAAAAGAAAGAGTTCCCTGTGTAAACACTTTGCAGAGTTTGAGAAAACTATGTGGAGGACATTCTGAGCTTTCAGTTGGTTATACACACTTTATGGTGTGAAGTAGGTGTAAGTTAGCACATATTTCCAAAAATAGAAGAGGTGGGTGGGGCCACCTTAGATGATTCACTAAATATAATAATATCTCAGTGAACAGAAATGATAGGTGATTCTTATTTTATATTCTAGCTTGTCAGTATTGGTAATTTGAGTTTTTAATTCATATATTGACATCACAAACATCTAATTTGAACCAAAGCTGCATTCAACATATCACGTGTCACAGAAAATTTGATATTTGGGAATTTTATTTTAATATTTACTCTTAAATTAAGAAATTAATTGATGTATAATAGTAACACTTGATTTATAATCTACAATATGATATCAAAGTTATTGACATATATTCATAAAATTGTATAAGTCTACAAACATGATAACATGCTCTTTGACCCCTAATCATAGGAAGACCCATAGTGAGAGGGTTAATTAAGCTTTATACATTTCTTAGGAGGTAATGTAATACAAAAAGTCTTTACATAACCCAGGGTAAAATTGAAAGACATTATGGGTACAGTTTCTCTTAAGAGTTAATCTTGAACCCAGTATGTATCACTAGTTATCAGTAAAAACGAAATTCATAAATAAGGGGTGCCATAAATGTAGGACATGGAATATTAGGAGGTTGCACCCCCTATATTTGAATATATACTTTTAATGCTGGTGTATAGGGTTGGGCAATTAATGGAATTTAATAATCATGTAATTGTTGGCCTCATTAATCAGTTACATTCAACAAATTGATTATTCTTACTTGAGCCTCCAATGATTGAATTAATTGGAAACTCTAATTTGGATTAATTTATTATTTTCATGGTGCTAATCACTGTAATCAATGCTCATAGGTAATCCATTAATCTAGTTAATCGCACAGTTATACAGTGGTGTTATGGTGAAACCTACCATGAAATCTTTCATTTTTGGAAAATATTTGAAATTCTAATGTGTTATAGAATACCCATTGAACAATAAATACAGAGAAGTTTTCTTTGTTAGTCTTTACTCAAAATTTGAAAATACTCTTGTTTATGTTTCTAAACTCTCATTTAAAAACATCTTTTGTTTGTTTGTTTTTTACCTCAAAAGATTTTAATCAATTATAAATATATTCGTATTTATTTCAATGTTGGGGTTAGTAAGTCATGTATTATTGTTTTATAGTGTATTTATCCTTTACACATGCACAAAAAATTGAATTTTTGTGTGTAAAATTTGCACATTTTTAATTTAAAGGAAAATAAGGTTTCCAAGGACTTGCTAAGGTTCTCTTCATTCTTTCCATGAAGTGACTAAACACTTGTATATTTCTTTTTGCTAGAGGATTAGTCGTGCCTTCATAAATGGTACCAATGTAGAGTACATTGTCACTACTGGATTAGAAGTTCCAGATGGTATAGCAGTTGACTGGGTGGCCCATAATCTCTACTGGACTGATATGGGCTACGATCGTATAGAGGTTTCTCGACTTGATGGAACATCACGAAAAGTTCTGATCTGGAAAGACCTTGATAATCCACATTCAATTGCATTACATCCTGGAAAAGGGTAAGGTTTTTTTTTATGTGATTAGTTTATGGTTTATTAACTTGGAAAATGTAACTGAAGTAGGTTATCATTCGTTAGTAAGACTCCAAATTTTCACACAAATCTACCAAACGTATCATTTACTCAGAGTTGAAAAATTAAAAAATGAATAAGTAAGCACTGAAATGTGGGTAGTATATTTTTTACTTAAGAATGTATATGTTATAAAGAGTGGCATAGCCAAAGATGGGTCTGGTCAGGCACTTAGGTGAATGAAGATAATTTGTCAACTTATCAAGAAACTGAAGCACAAAAACTATTTTATTGCAGTTGGAATGGTGAAAAGAGAGGAAACAAATAATGACTGAGGGAATTGCCTATTAGTACATAATTATGTTAAGACTAACTGTTTAGAACAGGTGAACTGGCTTGTTCATAAAATACTGTTGTATTGATATAATTACCTACAATGCAATGTTACAACACTATGTGTTTGTTTTTTTATTAGCCGAATGTATTGGAGTGTTTGGGGTAAAGATCCAAAAATTGAACTAGCTGCAATGGATGGAAGTAAAAGAAAGATGCTTATTGGGAAAGTAGGACGTGCCAAAGGATTAACAGTCGATTATCAAAAGGAGAAGCTCTACTGGGTTGATATTGACAAATATGTTATTGAGTATTCTGACTTGGAGGGTAAGTATCGTTAAAGTGATCAATTTTGATTATTGATACCATTTTATTTGTTATTATCAATCAAAAAGAACTCAGTTTAGTAATATCTAGGAATGCAGTTTTGTTTCCTTGTTTCACCCATGAGTTGCACCAAAAAGATAGTGATTTATATCATTGTAAATAATGCAAGTTCAGTCATATCATATAGTGACAAATTTCTGAAAGATGTTGTTTAATATTTCCTGAAATAAAATACAATTTTGCTTTCCATTAGAACATTATATACAAGACATCCAAAATATTGTAGCGAGTCAGATGGCAGTGGGGATAATAAAAAGATTGCTTTCAGTCTTGTATGCAATTTATTTCATGTGACATTACATATGTTCGACACCATGTTATTCTTAGTATCCCCTTCTTTTATTACTATTTTGGTGATGAATTACTGTTTATCTTGTATTAACCATCCCTTACGTACGTATTTTCAAAATAATTTAGACTTGTGGAGCAAGAAGGAAAAATTTTAATCCATCCAATCCTCTCCTTAACAATACTCTTTTGATTGGGTTCGTTAAATGTATGTGTAGTATTTAGTATTCCTTGGTGTGTAGTGTAATTATAGTGAACTTTTATGTTACAGGAAATGAACGAAAGCAGTTTGAAGTATCTGGTTCACCATTTTTACTTACTCAGTATGGAAACTACATATACTGGAATGATAACAACAAGAAAACTATACAGAGAGTTTCTAAAAGTGATGGTGGAAATCATTCACTTGTACATAGTTCAATGGATGATATATACAGTATGCTTGCATTCCATGCCTCAAGACATTCTGGTAATTACTGAAGATTTCAGAAGCTTGTGTTCATTTTTTTTTAAAATTTTTTTGTAACAATAAAATTACTTTATATATATATATATATATATATATATATATAGAATTAATATGCAACTAACTATTAACTTTTTAAGTTTTTTAGGTTGGAACCCATGTTCTGGTAATGGAGGATGTTCACATCTCTGTCTGGCACTTTCTCGTTCGAACAAAACATGTGCCTGTCCCACACACTTTTTGTTAGATAATGAAAGTGGAAAGTGCAATGGTAAAACTATTTTCAAAATTTTGATTAAAAAACGTTTGGAAAGTCTTAATATTATGAACTTAATCAAGAAAATATGATAATGCTCCTAAGGCTTCATCCATTATGATTTGAATTAAAATATAAAAAAAGTTGTGTGTGTGAGGATTACTTACCAGGACAATGAATAGAGGTTTTATCAAGATAGGATATTTCAAACTTAACTAAAAATGGTACAATATTTTAGAGTAACAAATGTAATGGAACATAACAGTATGACTGATAATAATTGTAAACATTTGTTAAGAATTAATTTCATACACACAAGTATTCGCAGCTAAAAATAATGGTAACATGCAGGAAAATTAGTCTCCAAATTCATATATTTTCTTCTTGAACTCTAAAATAATGCATTTGAGTTATTTTTCACTTAATTAACATTAAGGAAATGTAAGTATAAAGCATGTTTGGAATAATATTTAAATATATTTTGTAACTGTTATTTGAAAGGAATGAATTAGTACATTTTTCACTGGGAACGTTTTAAATTTTCTCATATTTCAGGGAATAACATTATCTCAGATGAAAGAAGTATTTGATAAATAAAATATTTTGGTGTACATTTCCAGCTCCTAGAAAATTTTTGCTGTATAGTCAGAAGTCTTACATCAGTCGAATAGTTATAGATAGTGAAGAATCTCCAGATACCATCCTTACAATTAATGATCAGAGGAATATAAAGGCTGTAAGTTATGATCCTGTTGAAGAGTTTGTATATTGGATCGATGGCCGATCACAGACTGTCAAACGTGGATTTGAAAATGGAACTATGGTAAAGTTTGAACCTTTTCTACAAAATATTTTGTTTAGGAATACCTCCTGATTTAGGAAATATACATTGATTGATAAAATCTTTGTAAGTGTGAAAGTCTACTCAAGTTGCATATTAACTTCTATTAATGATGTGTACGGTATGTTCTATTCTGAATGATTGTTTTCCTTTAATATGAAATTTCTTACAAGGATGTGCCTTACATTATATTTTATTTACAATGTTTCACAACTTTCCTATTTATTGGCTGTTTACAGAAGTTCAAATGGTGAAAGTTTAAGTTACTATGAACAGGATGGTAGATTTTCTATCACAGATAACAAAAAATTCATATTCAAACTGATTTCAGATTATTTTATCCATATTCTAAGTCTGTAAAAACAAATCTGGTAGTTGTGGGTATTTTACACAGAATTCTGTCTTTGTGTGATTTGTTACATGGAGAATTCCTGAAGTACATCTAAAACCAGTAACTATATTACCTTATTTATTTCATATGCATTGTAATGTATATTGTAGGTGCCATAGTAGCCAAAGAAAGAAGCAAAAAAAAAAATGTTCACCTATCTTTCAAGATTATTCTAAAAAAAGCATATTTTAGTTGAAACTCATCCTAGGTTTACAATCCCTTTTTCATCTTGACTGTTAGTGAATGGTTGTGATACTAGATGTTGTAGTCATTAAATTGCCAACTATATCTGGTTGATAATAATATAAAATAAAAAAGAATATTTTGCAATGGCAAAAACAATAAAAAATTTCATGCTTTTAGATTTCAACTATAGTAGCATACTCGAAGAATTCCCTTTGTCCAGATGATATAGTTATTGATCCGTACTCCCGATTACTGTACTTGAGTTGCACTGAGAAAAATATGAGTAGTATCAACGTAACACGTTTAGATGGTACACCAGTTGGAGTCTTGATTACAGGAGAAAACCAGAAACCTCGTGCTTTAGCCCTTCATTTTACTAGAGGGTAAGTACAGTTGAAAATTTTATGTGATTATGAAGGGTTACTATTGGTTTAAGGTGGATGATACTAGCATCTTTAATACGATATAGGAACAAATGTTTGTTCGGACTAGTTAAAATAATAACATTTTACTTGCATGTTTGAGTGAGGTAAGTCTATAATGAACAGTATGCCTGGTATACAAACATGTGGTTTTTATATAATTAACTCAGAACTGGTTTAAATATGTCTAATTATATTTGTATTAATAACAATTGGGAGGTTTTATGAGTTTCTTCTGCTTCTAGTAATGATAGCTATTGACCCTGTAAGTTTAGTATTTAAAGATTACTTGTATACGTGAAGGTAGATTCGCATACAATGACATCTCAGCTTAAACCACATTGTAATAAAAGATTTTTCTATCGATACACACGGCATAAGATACTCTAGTGTCAAACCTGAGAAAAACAAGGGTTTGTGATTATAATACAGAATGAGCTTCCTTCCAGTTTGAAAAGAATTGGCTTAAAGCTGTTGTGTAATGAAAGCAGATATAGCTACAGCAAAGAAAAGTTCTAGTTTGTGTAAATAGATAAATTTCTGTAAAAAGTCTTTGATCTTATTTATGTGTAAAAGTGTTACTGTTACATTTTTGTTAGGATAGTATATACAGAATTCAGTTCACCATTAAATTTACTCGAAAAAATTCTCAGACTTATGATTTTAATGGAAATTAATAAGAAATATTATTTAATAATGACAAAAGTTTCTTAATATGTATATAAAATTTTTGGGTTTATTTGAAATTGAAGACAAAGCAGGTTGTTACAGGTATTGAAGGTTCTTTTTTCATGAAATGATGTGTTCTGATAAAGTTAAATGGTGAGATGTATTTAGTTAATATATACATTGTATGTGTGTGTGTGAGAGAAAGAGACTTTTGTAATTCATTTTTTTGGTTCATGAAGTAAAAGGTAAAAGATGTTTTGGAGAAAGGTACATGGGATGTCTCTTTTGTGTACAAGAAAAGTAGGAAATATGAAATTGAATCTGGGATAGTTCTGAGTAATGAATTTTAACACTAACTTTAGATGTTTTCTTTTGTACCCTAAAGTGCTAAGTTGTAATTCCAGCCTGAATGTAATGTAATTTGCTTCTATTTCATGTTGTAAGTCTGGTACTCAGAGGTTGACTGATATATATCTGTATAATGTTTTGTATGATGTAGCCTATTATATTGGATAAACATTGTGAGTTCGCCTCGAATTGAGAGAGCCAAGATGGATGGGCTCGAATCCGTTACGGTCATCAAGGAGGGATTACAAAATCCTGAGGCCATAGCTGTTGATAGTGATAAAGACATATTGTTCTGGTCTGATTATGGTACAAATAGAATAGAATCATCTGATATTGATGGTGGTCATAGGTAAGTCTGTGATTCCTGCTCGTTCAGTAAGATGTGAAATTTAAAATACTCTTTAAAAGTTTAGTATTTTGTTTATGCTGAATAAGATGATTTGAAACAATATCTTATGTTCCATTAAGCAGGCAAGTATTACTTATCACATTCAGCATCACAACATTAATTTGTTTCAGTAATTAGTAACCAATTGACATTGTAAACAGAGAATTAACCTTGCTTTATAAAAACAAGTTGCATGGGCTAATGTGTTGCCTCATACACATATAGTCTGGCACCATGTTTAACACACACACACACACACACACACACACATATATATATATATATATGTGGTGTATGGTGAATTTCCAACTATTTGGCAGTATAATACTGTCATTTACTAAAATTAAACGTAACAGAAATCTATCACAGAGAAGTTTGAGCAAAAAGGCAATTAAAAATAAGGAACATGCATTGGGTTGAACTGATTGCCATAATACAGTGACTTACACCTTTATTATCATACTAGTAATAAAGAGTTAAATAAATCAAAAAGTAAAAAAAGGGGTTCTTGGTTTTTTTAGCATCATTTACTATCTACGTCACTAGTAGTGGATAATTCAATCTTTGTTTTTAGTTGTTTTGTGTAAAACCAACTCCCAACTGAATTATTTGGAAAATTAATGTGTGCTCAACGTACCTGTGTAATTAAGTTTAAAGTGCATCCAAACAAACCATACAGCTACTAATTTTACTGTATAACATAGCTGGTATTATATAGTGTTTTTTTTTTTAATCCACCCTTTTACTTTCACTTCATTACATGAATCTTGTTAACAGATGACTTGTGGTTTTATCCTGATTTATTACCACTTTTAATTGTTTACCCTATTATAGAAAAACTCTACGGCATGATAACAAGATGAAGCCATTATCACTTGCTGTTTACAAAGAATTCCTGTACTGGATTGACAGTAAACATGGAACTCTTCAACGATTCAACAAGTTAACAGGTGAAGACTTTAAACAAGTGTTGGCTCGGAAAAACCATTTGACAGATTTAATATCAGTATTTCCTTATAAACACTTTGAGAAGCGTTCATGTATTAATGGTAATGGAGGATGTACTCATCTGTGTTTATTCGGAAATAATGGAGAAAAACGTTGTGCTTGTCCCAAAGATCTTATTCTTGCCAAGGATGGCAAATCTTGTATCAACCCTCCTTGTCCTTCAAATAAATTTTCTTGCTCTAATGGAAAGAATTGTATTCCCATAGAGTGGCGGTGTGATGGATCTTCAGAGTGTGACGATGGATCAGATGAAAGTAATTGTCCAGAGTGTAATGCACATCAGTTTACCTGTAAGGATGGACACTGCATTACATGGGACCATGTATGCGATGGTATTCCACAGTGTTCAAATGGAATTGACGAGAAGTGTTGCAAAGATAGCTTTTTATGCCATGAAAGTGTATCAGGAGTGTATAACTGTATTCAGAGTTTTCACTTGTGTGATGGTGTACCTGATTGTCCAGATGGTTCAGATGAAGAAGAGAGTCAATGCAAGAACAGTCATCATCCTCAAGTTCAAGTAGATTATTACTTGATGGAGATGAACAAAACAAATTATACAATTGGCATTGTTATTGCCGTTGTAGTAGTTTTACTTATTGGTGTTCTTGCTTACATTTGTAAAAAGAAAACGCAAGGTTTTGATGAAAGTGAGGAAGGAGTAGATGTAGCAGTAACTTACAAAGTTCTGAACCAGCAACAAACATCTCTGTTAAATAGAAAAAATCTTCCTACAGGAGTTATTGTCCCAGCTCAAGGAAACTCAACATGTCCAGGACGAAGCGTTTGTCGGTCGGAGCTAGATAGCACTAATAGCCCCTTGTATGATCGAAACCATGTCACGGGAGCCTCGTCGAGTAGTTCAAGCACAACTCCGTATCCTCAAGAAACTCGAAATCCCCCACCAAGTCCGGTCACCATTCATTCTCAGTGTACATATGACTGTTGTTGTTCATCCAGTGTTTCATTATCTCGCAAGTCCCATCCTTACTATCATGAAAGAAGTTGTTTTTCTCCGTCTACATCTTTCATCACTGATGCGTGTGGTAATGAGAGTGAACCTTACCCTTACAGGCAGAGACATTACAATTCAAGAGTTGAGTTGTCTTATGACTCTGACACTTGTCATCTACCAAAGACGAAAAACCATTACATAATGACATACAGTTCTGACAGCTGTCCACCTCCCACTCCTCCAACAGAACGAAGCTATTGTAGTTTCTACATCCCACCACCACCCTCACCAGTGCCAGAGTCAGACTGCTAGAATGAGGACATTTGCAGTTATGGGTTTTGCTTTTCCAGAAAAATATTTAAATTTTGATGAGGAATGTAACTATATATATAGTTAGATTATTTAGTTTTTCAGTCATGCTTCATGTATGAAAAAGTTGATTTCTGAGAATGAAATCAGATATTTAATTTTTATCTTTGTCAATTTCATGCAGAATACTTATAATAATTTGAAATTTAATATTATGAACAGTTGTAATTCGTGATGTTTTTAAATATTTTTTTACTGAAGTTTAAAGATGACCATAATGTTATTTTTTCTAATTAGTAAGCAAAAAAATCTGAAGCATTAGGATGGCACTACTGTTACTTTTTAAATTGGTATACAAAAAATATAAAGATGACAACCATTATTTTTTAATTTGTACACAAAAATCTGGAGTGTAGAGATGACACTACTTTAATTTTTATGAAATTCAACTAGTTACATACGTATTGTGACACTGCCCGAATATTTTAAATATTTCTGCCAAAACCAAAATTCCAACAAGTTCACAAGTTTTTATATGCTACATGTTTTTATATTAACAGTTTTGTTAATGGTTTTTACCATAATTTTTGTAATAAAACTCGATTGAAATCATGGCAGCAGTTGTTTGTAAATAGTGTCTAATGCTAGAAGAGTCTGTTAAGTGTGTTCAAAGAAGGTTAGTTTACTATGCCTTTGTACATTTTTCACTATTTGTCTTTGTAAGTATATTCATAAAAATCCATTTTTCAAAAAAAAGTTTTACCAGGAAACATTGTTTTTTGAACTGAGCAGATTTGTAGAACCTTTTAATATTTTACGCAGTTTTGGGACCATGTATTTCTTTCATGAATTAATGATTACAAGCAGTTTTATGGGGCATGTTTGAGGTCGGTTTCAAAATGATATTTTAGTAGAGTTTTGGATCTTACTAAACTCTCTTAGGTTTAGTTTTAGAATCTTGAAATAAGAATCATATTTTAATGGCTCAGTTTTATCAGCAAACATTATTAAGTAAACATGTGACATAAATATTTCAATAATTTCTAGAAACAGTTGCATCATAAAAGGTTACAGTGACTTATTTTACGTTTTTCTAACTTATCTATTAAGTTTAATGCTGATTTAGTGTGTTTTAATCCACCACATTCTTGTACTTATAATTTTATACTGTAATAGTATAAATATTATTCAGAATTTCCTGTAATTTATGTATTATCACATATTTTTTCTCTAGTTTCTCCTGATTTCAAATGTAATTTTGTCCAGTTTGTTGAGTCAAATAACTTTGGTTTTAATTTTTGTTAATACAACAATTTATTGATATTTCATTGAAATAATTGGCTTTTGCTGGGTTTAAGGTTATTACAAAAAGTCTTTGTAATACAAAATCATGTAAGGTGTAAGATGAATTTGTAACTTAGTGTAAGTTAAGGTTCTATCTCATGTAATTGTGTTTTAATGTATTAATATGTAGATTGTGTTAATAGTTTTTCAAGTATTACTTCTTGCCAGAAATGTTTTGGAGTGTTAATGCAAATACTTCATGTTGTAACGTACATTTGTTTACATATTCTACTCAAAATGCAAGGCCAGTTCAGAGAAGTTATAGAACTAATTATCAGTGTGATTTTTTACCAGACATATGTTTTGCTTATTTGGAAATGCCAAATTATTAAATTTCGTTTATGGTGTTACATGTTTTGGTTTTTATTAATTCATTGACTAATTAGTAGAGCAAGCATTTTGAAATTCAAGTTCAATGTCATTGTGGGGATTTAAAACTGATGTACCTTCTATATCTATTATAATATTCATAATAGTTTTTGTAATTGTCTTTATGCGTATTAAACTGTTAATCTTCTCTGAAATATATAGCTACAGTATACCCAAAATTTTCTATTTTCTGAAGTACCATGCCAAATGCTGTAGTTTTTTTTGTTGTGTGTGTGTGTGTGTGTAAAGAACATGCCAATTTGATCAGTTTTGAAGTGTATGAAATATTATTCAGTAATTTAGCATTATTTGTGTAGTGTTTAGTTCCTTATATTTGAAAAAATATCAAAGATAATTTCTTGTATCTTAGCATTTCAGTGTCCCAGTTGTTAATTTCAAAAAAAAAAAAAGTTTTCACTCTCCAGCAAGTTATTTGGTAATAAACTTGCTAAGTGTGTGCGTACATAGGTACACAAGTACAAATCATAAGATTGTATGAAAGAAATGTACATTTATATATATATATATATATATACTGAGTTTCTGTGCCAAATCTTTTGGGTAGCATTTGTATTGAATACGTAAATTTCCAACATTACTTAGGTTACAAATATTTTACTGTCTTGATTTTTCTCAAACTCATTGCTGTTGTGTATATAATTCTGTAATTGTATTTGTAAGTATGTTTAATAAATCAACTATTCGATAAATTATGTAGTCACGAATTTAGTTTATTGTGGCCCCAAGCCTTACTAAATACATACATTTGTGTTGTTGATTTTGTTTTGTTTTTTACTAGAATAATATACTTGATATTATAAGTTTGATGTTTTAACTTTTAGAAAACCATAATTGAAATTGTAAGTATAACACAAGGATTACATTCTTTGGTACATTAGTAAGTAGTAGTATTTGAGAGTGAAATTTAAGCTTAAGGTATTTACACATTCATTCACTGTAGAGTAAGGCCACTTAAAATCTTACTATAATGGAGCAATGGCATGGTCATCTATCTATGTTACTGAAATAATAAATATTATAAAGTCCAAAACAGCAATACAGATAGTCTTTAAACTTGGTTCATTGTAGAGTAAGACCACTTAAAATTAAAGTTACAGCTGCGTCTTTTTCTGTCATTGCTGCATCGTTTTTGTTTTCAATTAAAAGAAACGAAAAAGCTGCCCAGAAATGGAAGATGATAAATGTAGAAGTAGAAACTTAAGGCATGCATGTGCACATGTTTAAAGCTGTGTGGTAGTATCTGTCAGTAGCAAAAGGTGCAACTGGGAAATAGTATGTGGAGTAAATCCATATTATCGTGGTTTTGACTGAGGTGTAGTAAATAAAGATACTGGACACATTGTTTTAGACACAGTGAAAATAATCCTTATTTTTCTTACAAAATAATAAAAAAAAAATGAGCACTTCACTGGGTTTCGGTAAAGGAGGAGACTGTTGAAAATCTGTATTGAGGTCTGGATCGAGACAGACTAACTGACTATTCCAGGCCGATAGAGCATAGGGTTATATAGAAGCATGTACTACCCATGACATGGTCATTCCAATAGAAGGGGGGGTTTAATACCTTCCCTATATCATTAGAGTTGGGTGGTTAGCTTGATTAATGAATGAAATTGATTACCTCTATTAGTAATTGATGAATCTAAATGCCCCCAGTGACTCAGCATTAAGTCTAAAGGCTTATATTGCTAAAAACTGGGTTTCGATACTCATGGTGGGTACAGCATATATAGACCATTGTGTAGCTTTGTACTTAATAAGAAACAATTAATAGAAATTATAATTAAGTCAATAAATATCATGAAGATAATCAACTAATTAAAATTAGTTTCTGATTATTCCAACCATCCAAGTAATTGAAATATTATCATTATGATTTGTTCCTATTATATTTGATTAATTCAAGGTTGTTCAGTGTAATTGATTAGTATTATAGCTCACAAAAATAATTAACTAATTGATTATTCCAATTATCCAAGTGTCGCACGAGAATAATCAGTTGGTTGGATGTAATCTATTATTGAACCTTATTAGTAAACGATTATTAAATTCCATTAATTGCCCAGATGTCACATAACTCAACAGCGCCCCCCTCCCCCCCAGTAGCACAGCGGTATGTCTGCGGACTTAAAACGCTGGAATCCGGGTTTCGATACACGTGGTGGGCAGCGCACAGATAGCCCATTGTATGGCTTTGTGCTTAATTACAAACAAACAAACTCAACAGTGAAAAATTTTCTGACTATTTTTGCACAAGTCAAATTTACAGTGGGAGGCATCAGAATCTTGGATGCTGTAGTACACTCACTTTTACATATTTGACTTACAAAGCAGCTTTAAGTTGTATTATTATATTATCTGCACGTCTAGCCAAGCATCCCCACTTTGCAACTTTTCCTTCACCACTTTCAAAAAGCACATTTGATAATAATGAGGAAATGACTCAGAATAATGGGAGCTAGTGGACCCAGAAGAGTTCAACCATATTTCGTGACCAACATTCTACTGTTAAAATTACATACACATATGTGTACAGAATTTAAGTTATCTCTTTTAAAAGAGTTTTCTTTACTAAGTAAAGGATATAGAAAACGCTTAGTATGTTTGCATAGTACAACAACATAAAGTTTTTGCTTACCATTTTTGCATATTTAACTGTGGTTTTTAGTACCAATAAAAAATAGAACTTCCACCCTCATTATTAAAGAAAGCTTAATCGTATTTTATGTTGTCCTTCATTAAATATGTGTTAATGCCTATTTATAAGGGCAGTCATAAAAAGTAATTAAGGTAAAATATCACGTGGGTACATATTCTAATTATAATATGAGTTTTAGTTGATGAATGTTTTGAATAGATAGCCTTGCCTATTTACAATCATTAGCTGACACTTTGTGATTCACTGTCGATAAAGGTAAATATTAGTGAATGATTTAAATATTCTTTACTTTCACTAGAAGGTTGTCTATTCATCTCTAGTCCCATGCTATTTATGAATTTTCAATTTGGAAATTATATATTTGAATTGTTAACCTTTAAGCTACTGACTTGGTGTTAGCATATTGCATCATATGTGGTATTTTTAAGTAAACTAGTTCCCTGAAAACGTGAATTAGATAGTGCTGCTATATAATGGATGATTCAGCAAGATAAGATGAGATAAACTAGTTCCCTGAAAACGTGAATTAGATAGTGCTGCTATATAATGGATGATTCAGCAAGATAAGATGAGATATAATAACGAATTCTGCTAAAACTGAGTCTGGACAGAATGTGTGATACACAATGAAAACAATACTTATTCAAACAAACAACACATTTACTTGTGTTGGACACTGGACAGTCACTTTTACAGAAGTTGTGAATTAATCGGGTTGGATCTACTCCTTCAAGACCTCCAAACTGACCAACTCACTGAAGACGATGTTCCAGGCCGACCAAACTTCACGTCACTTGGTTGAATTAGCAATGTCAGATTTCCCGAGAAACTAGCACCTCCCATGTGACTGGTCATTTCCATTCAAATATAAGGGAAGTTGTAACCTCGAAACATTACCTGAACTGCCATTGGGTGACATTGCTGTCAACTTTCATGCACAAAATACAAGTTTACAGATATATTCCTGATTGCATATCATTTATCTCCAAGGGAACCACAAAGAAAAAAGATAGCTAGAACAAAATCAACATAACTTTCTTGACCACATATTATGTGAAAACTGCATATAAGTAAAGTTAAATAAAATTTCAAAATGAATTAAGAAGGTATAAAATACACAGTTTTCCTTCCTCTGTTGCAGGCTTGTCCTCAAGCCAACTTTAATCGTAACCTTCAAACCAATCAACTTTACAAACGAGAA